AGCTTGAAGGGGTTAATCGGGACAAAGGACACGAGAGGGTTTATACTAGTTCGGCCCCTTACGGTGAAGGTAAGGCCTACGTCTAGTTGGGTTGGTATTGATGTTTCGATGACCAGGGAGCGAGATACGCTATGCCCGGTTCTCGATGAGTTGTTTCTTGCCCTAAGCCGCCAGCAGGTCGTCCCCTTATATACACGGGTTGACGCCCTGTGGCCTACAGAGTCCCGGCCAGCTTATAACAGTGTCCGGCTCGGTTACTATTTAAAACTACCTTATGATACAGGTCATGCCATTACGGCGGTTTACTACAACGGGCCTTAAGTCGCCTGTGGGCTTAAGTCCCCTATTGAACCGCCGTCTTCATGCTTGGTCTTGGGCTTGAGTCTTCTTTGCGTAACCGGGCCCCTCCTGGGCGGCTTACACAAATAGTTATATCCCCAACAGTTACTGACTACAAAGCTCGACTTATCGCAAAAGGTTTTGGACAAGTTCAAGGGTTTGACTAATATGAGACTTTCTCACCCGTCGCAATGCTTGAGTTTGTCTGAATCATGTTAGCAATTTCCGCATTTTATAATTATGAAATCTGGCAAATGGACGTCAAAACTGCATTCCTTAATGGATTTCTTAAAGAAGAGTTGTATATGATGCAACCAGAAGGTTTTGTCGATCCTAAAGGTGCTAACAAAGTGTGCAAGCTCCAACAATCCATCTATGGACTGGTGCAAGCATCTCAGAGTTGGAATATATGCTTTGATGAGGTGATCAAAGCATATGGTTTTATACAGACTTACGGTGAAGCCTGTATTTACAAGAAAGTGAGTGAGAGCTCTGTAGCATTTCTGATATTATTTGTGGATGACATATTGTTGATTGGAAATGATATATAATTTCTGGATAGCATAAAAGAATACTTGAATAAGAATTTTTTATATGAAAGACCTCGGTGAAGCTACTTACATATTGAGCATCTAGATCTATAGGGATAGATCGAGATGCTTAATAGGACTTTCACAAAGCACATACCTTGATAAAGTTTTAAAGAAGTTCAAAAATTGATTAGTCAAAGAAAGCGTTATTTCCTGTGTTACAAGGTGTGAAGTTGAGTAAGACTCAAAGCTTGATCATGGCAGAAGATAGTTCATTCCCTATGCCTCAGCCATAGGTTCTACAAAGTATGCCATGCTGTGTACCAGACCTATTGTGTGCCTTGCCATGAGTTTGGCAAGGGGGTACAATAGTGTTCCAGGAGTGGACCACTGGACAACGGTCAAAATTATCCTTAGGTACCTAAAAAAACTAAGAAAATATTTCTCGATTATGGAGGTGATAAAGAGTTCGTCGTAAAGGGTTACATCAATGCCAGCTTTAACACCAAACTAGATGACTCCGAGTCTCAATATGGATATGTATTGAACGTGGGAGCAATTAGCTAGAGTAGCTCAATGCAGAGCATTGTCGACATAGAAATTTGCAAAATACATATGGATCTGAATGTGGCAGACCCATTGACTAAATCTCTCTCACAAGCAAAACATGATCACACATTAGTACTCTTTGAGTGTTAATCACATGGCAATGTGAACTAGACTATTGACTCTAGTAACTCTTTGGGTGTTGGTCACATGGCGATGTGAACTATGAGTGTTGATCACATGGCAATGTGAACTAGATTATTGACTCTAGTGCAAGTGGGAGACTGATGGAAATATGCCCTAGAAGAAATAATAATATCGTTATTATTATATTTCCTAAATCATGATAAAGGTTTATTATTCATGCTAGAATTGTATTGATTGGAAACTTAAATACATGTGTGAATACATAAACAAAATATCGTGTCCCTACTAAGCCTCTACTAGTCTAGCTCGTTGATGAAAGATGGTTAAGGTTTCCTAACCATAGACATGTGTTGTCATTTGATAACAGGATCACATCATTAGGAGAATGATGCGATGGACAATGCCCATTCGTTAGCTTAGCATATTGATCGTTCAGTTTATTGCTATTGCTTTCTTCATGTCAAATACATATTCCTTCGACTATGAGATTATGCAACTCCTGGATACCGGAGGAATACCTTGTGTGCTATCAAACGTCACAACGTAACTGGGTGATCATAAAGATGCTCTACAGGTATCTTCGAAGGTGTTTTTTGAGTTGGCATAGATCGAGATTAGGATTTGTCACTCCGAGTATCAGAGAGGTATCTCTGGGCCCTCTCGGTAATACACATCATAAGAAGACTTTCAAGCAAAGTGACTAATGAGTTAGTTGCAGGATGATGTATTATGGAACGAGTAAAGGGACTTGTCGGCAATGAGATTGAACTAGGTATGAAGATACTGGCGATCAAATCTCAGGCAAGTAACATACCGATGGACAAAGGGAATTACGTATGTTGTCATAAGGTTCGACCGATAAAGATCTTCGTATAATATGTAGGAGCTCAATATGGGCATCCAGATTTCTCTATTGGTTATTAACCGGAGAGGTGTCTCGGTCATGTCTACATAGTCCTCGAACCCGTAGGGTCCGCACGTTGACGATATATTGTTATATATGAGTTATATGATTTGTTGACCGAATGTTGTTCAGAGTCCTGGATGATATCACGGACATGACGAGGAGACTCAAAATGGTCGAGGGGTAAAGATTGATATATAGGACGATGGTATTCGGACACCAAAAGTGTTTCGGGGGGTACCGGGTACTTATTGGGTCACCGAAAGGGGTTCTGGGCACCCCCGGCAAAAGATATGGGCCTTATGGGCCAAGAGAGGGAACGCGCCAGCCACAAGGGGCTGGTGTGCGCCCCATAGCAGGCTGGCCTAGGAGGAGAAGGAAAGAGGGAAGGGAAAGGAAAGTGTGGATTATG